TTTTTGTATTTTTAGTAGAGATGGGGTTTCACCATGTTGGACAGGATGGTCTCAATCTCCTGACCTCATGATCCGCCCCCCTAGGCCTCCCAGAGTGCTGGGATTACAGGCATGAGCCACCGCGCCTGGCCCTGGATGATGTTTTAAATGATTGCTAGGTACCAGGCTAGCCAAGCTTTTTTTTTTTTTTTTTTTTTTAAAGACAGGGTCTTGCTCTGTCATCCAGGCTGGAGTGCAGAGTTGCAGTCTTGACTCACTGCAACCTCTGCCTCCTGGGCTAAGCGATTCTCCTGCCTCTGCCTCCCAAGTAGGTGCAACCACAGGCATATGCCACCACACCCAGCTAATTTTTGTATTTTTTGTAGAGGCAGGGTTTTGCTATGTTGCCCAGGCTGGTCTTGAACTCCTGGATTCAAGCCATCTGCCTGCCTCAGCCTTCCAAAGTGCTGAAATTACATGTGTGAGCCACTCTGCCTGGCCTGTAGCCAAACTTTTTTAATCTACAGATGGAAATGATCCTTTGAGTTTTCTTTGCGTGTATCATTTTTGTTTTATATTTTGGGAGGGGAAACATTTTCCATTAAGGAAAGTTGTTGCCAGTGGATTTGACTCCAAGGTACTAGAGTGTCATGGTGAGGGTGGAGGGGATGCAGGGTGATCATTGGCTACTGAGCCTCCACAAAGAGCATGTGGCGCCTCTGCCTTTGGAAGGATATTTTGCTCTCTTGTTAGTTTTGCAGGCAACCTTGGATTTGCTGTTGAGTTGCTGTTAAGAAATGGAGACCAGCGTTGTTTCTGCCTCTCGTTGGTTAGGTTTTCTGAGTTTTTATAGTCTCTTTTTATTAGATTATTAGTTTTATTAGATCTTATTAGATCACATCTCTTTAGCCAGAACAAATGCTTCACTATCTTCTGACTGACAGTACTCCTGTGGCTCTGTGCCTTGCCTCATTTTATTTTCTTCAGCCTTGAAGGCCCCTTCCCACATGCACTGACATCCACTCATGTACCTGGTCCCTGAAGCCTCCCAGCACCTGTTCTGTTGCATCCCCAAGGCATGGGACTTTGATCTCTTCTGCTGTCCTTGCTAGGTTCTCCCTGGTGGGTTAGAGCTTTGTATCAGTCTCTCTGCCCCTCACAATTGTAATTATGGATTTTTACCTACTCTAATTCAATGATGCTAATGAGAATTAGACATTATTCCGCTTACACATAGAGGGACCATATAGTCTTTATCTTTTTGTTGTGTTTATATATGGTATCTGGCAAATGCATCTGTGATTACCAGCCTGACACCAACAAATCCCCTCAGTTAGGATGTATAGATTAAACAAAGCTTTGAAAAGCTCATATGCTATGACCTCAAGGTTGTTAACCTGATCATCTCGTGGTAATCAGAAACTCTGGTTGGCAGCTTTATATTTCTTGATTAAAAACCTAAATAAACGGATTAGATTTTAGGTATTCTTTCAAAGAGGTTCTTGATTAAAAGATTGAGAACTATCCTGTTTTTGGGCTTAGTGAAAAGATTTTGAATTACTGTATGTAACAGTTATTGCCATTTCTTTATTAAATTCAGAAGCTTTTTTACCAAATAAGTAATAATTTTTCAAAAAAAAATGATACTTGGGGAAATGGATTCAAAACAATTTACTAAAAATTAACTCAAGAATACAGCTGCTTTTTTTAAATCCCCGAAGTAGGGATAAATTATAAACAGTAAATGTGGCACTTAAAACCAGCTTTTAAAATATTCATTCACTGGGCCAGCCTCGGTGGCTCACGCCTGTAATCCCAGCACTTTGGGAGGCTGAGGTAGGCAGATTGCTTGAGGTCAGGAGTTCGAGACCAGCCTGTCCAACATGGGGGAACCCCGTCTCTACTAAAACAAAAATTAGCTGGGCATGGTGGCACATGCCTGTAATCCCAGCTACTTGGGAGGCTGAGGCAGGAGAATCGCAGGAACCTGAAAAGTAGAAGTTGCAGTGAGCCAAGATCGCACCACTGCACTCCAGCCTGGGCGCAGAGGGAGACTCCATCTCAAAAAAATAAAACAAAATATTCACTCACTTATTCAACCAATAAATATTTACTGTGCCCCTATTGAGTGTTAGACATAGGAATGTAGTAATGAGCAAGATAAGAGGGAGACTCTGTTCTCACGGAATTTGCAGAATAGTAATAGTTAGAAGGACACAACTGGTTAAGTGATCATAACGGCTGTCAGTGCTGTGAGGAATCCTGGTGCCATGGGAACTTTCAACAGGGGTGTGTAGCATATCATGGAAGCCAGGCAGGATCAAGAGGAAGTGATGCTCAGGCTAATGGGAGGGTGGGGAGTGAGTATTCAGTTTTGGTTTTTGTGTTTTTTTGAGACAGAGTCTTGCCCTGTCACCCAGGCTGTGGTGCAATGTCAAGATCTTGGCTCACTGCAACCTCTGCCTCCTGGGTTCAAGCGACCCTCCTGCCTCCACCTCCTGAGTAGCTGGGATTACAGGCATGCACCACCACACCCATCTAATTTTTTGTATCTTTAATAGAGATGGAGCTTCACCGAGTTGGCCAGGCTGGTCTCGAACTCCTGACCTTGTGATCCACCTGCCTCAGCCTCCCAAAGTGTGGGCCTTACAGGCATGAGCCTGGCCATGGGTATTCAGTTTGAGGGAACAAATAGGTGAAAGCCCTGTGGCAGGAAAGACTGCATCCTGTCAGAGGAACTGCAAGGCAGGAGTGTGGCCCAAGGGGCCAGGAAGGGTCTGGGGTGAGACCAAAAGGTCTTCTGGACCTGTACACAAGGTATGGATTTGGGTTTATTACCTAAGGGCAATGGAAAACAGGAACGTTTTTAAGAAGGGGAGAGAGAGTATCAGATTTGCATGTTTAAGGCTCACACCTATAATCCCATCACTTTGGGAGGTTGAGGAGGGGGGTGGATCACCTGAGGTCAAGAGTTCGAGACCAGCCTGGCCTACATGGTGAAACCCGGTCTCTAGTAAATATACAAAAAATTAGCCAGGCATGGTGGCAGGCGCTTGTAATCCCAGCTACTTGGGAGGCTGAGGCAGGAGAGTTGCTTGAACCCAGGAGACAGAGGTTGCAGTGAGCCAAGATTGGGCCATTGCACTCCAGCCTGGGCAACAAGAGCAAAACTCTGTCCCAGGGAAAGACAAAAAAGATTTTCATGTTTAACAGACCATTCTGGCAGCAGCCTGGAGACTGAGTGGGCACCAGTGGGCAGGTGGGGAGAGGCGACAGGGAGGAACAGCAAGGTCTTGTGGTACCCTGTGGTGTAGCTGCCGTGGGGACTGAGAGAAGTGGGTGGGTTCAAGGGATGCTTTGGAGGTAAAACTTGGGTTAAGTGGTTGGAAGTAGGTGGTAAGAGGGAAGGAGGTCGGGAGTCTGATTTCCAGGTTTAAGACCTAAACCTTTGGATAGCAGCACTGGGCGAGGAGCTGGTTCTCCTCAGTGAGAGGCAATAGGATGACAAGTTCAGTTTTGAGATCCTTGTGCATTGTCCAAATGGGAGGAACTCTCAGCTAGCCTTTCATTTATAAAAATTTGGAGAAGTCGTGAAGAACATTCAAAACACGACTCAAAATCACAGTGTTTGGCATTGGCTGTTGAAATTTGGCTATTACATAGGTTACCTGCCCCTCAGCAAAGTTCTTTGGAAAAACCAGCTCATTCTAACATCTCTGAAACTCAGAAGTACCAAATATCAAACGATCGTGGAGGGCCTGGAAAGTAAACTCAGGCTGAGTGGAGGTTACAGCCCTTCCCAGGCTGTGGGCTCCCCAAAGGCAGGATCTTCTCCCTTTGCGTCGCCCACTTTAAGCACAATGTTTACTTATTAAACATGCAGGCGGGATGTGGAATGAATGTTGACAATGTTTAAATTAGAGAGAAGCCTATTTTGATGTGGTTATCATTCATGAACTTTTCACAGTTTCCTTTTTCTCAAAGTTAATGTGTAAATGAAGGTACTAAAACTTTCAAGTTCAAAAAATATTTGTAGAGAACAGAATTTGCTTAATGGCTGGAGGATTAGTGTGATCATATTTCTCCTCTTCAGGGAGCCTAATCACCTACCTGAACCTCAGAAGGGGAGGTTTGTTGTCCCTGACTATAGAAATAATGCTAGAATGTCCGGGCACAGTGGCTCACACCTGTCATCCCAGCACTTTGGGTGGCTGAGGTGGGTGGATCGCTTGAACTCAAGAGTTCAAGACCAGCCTAGCTAACATGGTGAAACCCTGTCTCTACTAAATTACAAAAATTAGTCAAGTATGGTGGTGCATGCCTGTAATCCCAGCACTTTGGGAGGCCAAGGCAGGTGGACCACCTGAGGTCAGGAGTTCAAGACCAGCTTGGCCAACATGGTGAAACTTTGTCTCTATTAAAAATACAAAAACTTGCCAGGCATGCTGGTGCATACCTGTAGTTCCAGGTATTTGGGAGTAGAGTCACAAGAATTCCTTGAACCCAGGAAGCGGAGGTTGTGGTGAGCCAAGATCGCACCACTGCACTCCAGCCTGGGCGACAGAGTGAGACTCTGTCTCAAAAAAGAAAAGAAGGCCGGGCGCGGTGGCTCAAGCCTGTAATCCCAGCACTGTGGGAGGCCGAGGCGGGTGGATCACGAGGTCAAGAGATCGAGACCATCCTGGTCAACATGGTGAAACCCGTCTCTACTAAGAATACGGAAAATTAGCTGGGCATGGTGGCGCGTGCCTGTAATCCCAGCTACTCAGGAGGCTGAGGCAGGAGAATTGCCTGAACCCGGGAGGCGGAGGTTGCGGTGAGCCGAGATCGCGCCATTGCACTCCAGCCTGGGTAACAAGAGCGAAGCTCCGTCTCAAAAAAGAAAAGAAAAGAAGGTGATTTCAGTAACAATTTTTCTAAGAAAAAGAAAATTTGGGCAAGGGGATATATTAATATATTCTCTGAACCAGCCTAATTTGATTCAAATTCTTTGTTTTTTCCTCCCATTTTGCACAACCCAGAAAGTCCTATGAGTTTGAAGACTTACTGCAGTCTTCCTCCGAGAGCAGCAGGGTAGACTGGTATGCGCAGACTAAGCTGGGGCTGACACGCACTTTATCGGAGGAGAACGTCTATGAAGACATTCTAGGTAAGAGGCCACACCGTCTGTGTGTGGGTCTGAGTCTGGGAGAAAGGAGAGGGGAAATGGGGCTGACTGCTGGAAACACACGTGCACACACACAGACACACACACACACACGCACACTCTCTCTCTCTCTCTCTCTCTCAAAGATGCCTGTGTACTCAGATGAGAGAGCAGGCTGGGGGAGAGTGGGAGAGTGAGCTTCACCTCACGGGATGTGTGAGAGACCCTGGGGCTGGAGGGGGAAGCCTGGCTGGTGATGCGTGGCCAAGGAGCCAGTGTGGCAGAGTGGCATAGCAAGAAGCGTGGGATCTGGAATCTGAAGATCCAGAACCACGTCTTGGCTCTGCTGCTTATTGGTCGCAGGACATTGAGCTGGTGACTTCCCATCTCTGAATGTCAGTTCTCCCATCTGTGTAATGAGGTTGCTGCTAGCTCCCTTGCAAGGTTAAGGACTGGAGAGAATGGTATGTCAACTGCCTGGCTTATGATGGATGCTCAGTCGTCTGCAGAGATTACTGAATGAAAGAAAACTCTACACGCCAGAGCCTCCTTCAGAAACTGTCAGAGTGTGGCACTAACAGGGCATCAGAATGCAGACTAAATGCATGTCTGGTATTTAAAAAGTAACTTTGGCTCTAACGCATCCTCTGAGATTTCAGAGTGGGCCTCAGATTCAGAGTTTAGTGAGTTCAGTCATCTTTAGGGAGGTTGATGGTTTTAGTGAAGTGTCAGCTCCAACTGCTCTCTCCTTGTTGGAAATAGATGCTCAATGCTGCATAGAAAAATAAGCACTGAGACAAAGGATCTTTCAGCAATGCAATTTTTACTTCCTGAACTGCAGGAAGGGTAACTCTCACTAGCCATCATGCCAGTAGAGTACAATGAACAAAGGAAAACAGACAAATTTATCCCCTATGCATTTGGGGTCATCCTTACTGCTGTGTCTGATCTCCATTGGCTACAGCCAGACCTCATAATCTGAACTAAAACCTGATTGGCTAACAACTTAAAACTTTTCTAAACAGGTGAAAGCAATGGAGAGCTGGGACATGCCTATGAGCACATCCAGCACTGATATCTTAAAATACAAGGACATAGAATGTACTACGTGCCTGTAAGCATGGCATTTCTAATATGCTTATGGTGGCAGTAGGGGAAGACACAAACTGATAAGAGGGAGAAACCCATGTGTGTGTGCAGGTGAGGGACAGGTATGGTGGATATATATAGACATGTGTGCATGTAATCATCAATACTAGAAAACACTGGAGGAGGAAATAGAAGACTTCAGGAAGGGCAGATATTTAGCTAAGCAATTGGAATTGTACCTGTGTCCAGGACACGGGAGATGGGCTCCTGCCAAAGCAGCGGGATTCCCAGATCTAAAATGGGAGAGAGAGATCTGGACTTCTTTCAGCAGTGACTGCCTAAGAGGATGCTTTCAGTTATAAGGAACAGAAAACCAAACCGTCAGCTTGTATGACCAGAACTGGCGGCTTTTCTTTCTTCTATTTCTTTTTTTTTAGACAGGAATCACAATCTCAGATCACTGCTTCCTCCACCTCCCAGGTTCATGTGAATCTACTGCCTCAGCCTCCTGAGTAGCTGGGATTACAGGCACCCGTCACCACGCCCAGCTAATTTTTGTGGGGTTTTTTTAAGTAGAAACAGGATTTTGCCACATTGCCCAGGCTAGTCTCAAACTCCTGGGCTCAGATGATCCACCCTGAGCTTCAGCCTCTCAAAGTCCTGAAATTACAGGTGTGAGCCACCGCACACAGCCTCCTTCCTCCGTTTCTCACCTCTCAAGTTAGCTTTATTCTCAGCAGGCTTCCCAGGGCCCCACAATGGCTGCCACCAGCTCCCTGGAATCCAAATCTTCCTGGTGGAGAGAAGAGCTTTTCTCCTGCAAGTCCCAGCAGAGATCCTGAGGTTCACCCTCCCTAGACCAGTCGAAGCCCCTTGTTCACTTTTGGAGCCCAGGAGTGCCACACTGTGATATCTTCTTAGGCTTAGAATGACAGCCCTGCCCTGAACTGATCACTGAGGCAGCTATTGGGATACTTAGACTAGCTAAAGCACTAAAACGGAAAGTGGAGCTGATCTCCTGTGGCCACGAATGAGGAGATGGAGAGGTAACCCAGTGAAATCAGGGACTGCTACAAGAGGTGAGGCGCATGGATGGCAAAACGGCAGCTCTCACTGCAAGGACAGACACAGGAGGGACCAAGATGCTGACCTCAGTGTTCCAAAAAGGAAAATGTCCTCAGTGTCCCAGGTTCCTGACGCATTGCCTTTGAACACAGATCCGCCAATGAAGGAGAACCCTTATGAGGACATCGAGTTACATGGTCGCTGCCTGGGGAAGAAGTGTGTCTTGAACTTTCCTGCATCTCCCACCTCTTCCATCCCTGACACAACCACCAAGGTAAGAGTCACCTGGGAGCGGTGGCAGGAGAGGGGGCCCCAGCACAGTGGCCTTGAGCACACTGGAGTTCTGACTGGCACTGGAATTCTAGGCCACCCCTGCCCACCCTGCCAGGCTCCTGGATTTGTGTATCGTTAGCTGACTGGTCTTCCTGCCTCTAGTTCTCTTGGAGCCTCTATGCTCAAAAAAGCTTCCTTTTATATATATATATATATATACACACATATATATGTATATATATATTTATATACATATATATATACACACACATTTTTTTTTTATTGCACTTTAGGTTCTAGGGTACATGTGCAGATCATGAAGGATTATTGCATAGGTACATACATGGCAATGTGGTTTGCTGCCTCCATCCCCTATATCTGGCGTATCTCCCCATGTTATACCTCCCCAACTCCCTACCCCCCCGCTGTCCCGCCTTAGTCCCCCACAACAGACCCCAGTGTGTGATGCTCCCCTCCCTGTGTCCATGTGTTCTCATTGTTCAACACCCGCCTATGAGTGAGAACATGCGGTATTTGATTTTTCTGTTCTTGTGTCAGTTTGCTGAGAATGATGATTTCCAGATTCATCCATGTCCCTACAAAGAATACAAACTCATCGTTTTTTATGGCTGCATAGTATTCCATGGTGTATATGTGCCATATTTTCCTTGTCCAGTCTATCATTGATGGGCATTTTGGTTGGTTCCAGGTGTTTGCTATTATAAATAGTGCCGCAATGAACATACGTGTGCATGTGTCTTTGTAATAGAATGATTTATAATCCTTTGGGTATATACCCCGTAATGGGATTGCTGGGTCAAATGGAATTTCTATTTTTAGGTCCTTGAGGAATCGCCACACTGTCTTCCACAATGGTTGAACTAATTTACACTCCTACCAACAGTATAATAGCGTTTCTATTTCTCCACATCCTCTCCAGCATCTGTTGTCTCCAGATTTTTTAATGATCGCCATTCTAACCGGCGTGAGATGATATCTCAATGTGGTTTTGATTTGCATTTCTCTAATGACGAGTGACGATGAGCATTTTTTCATGTTTGTTGGCCTCATATATGTCTTCTTTTGAAAAGTGTCTGTTCATGTCCTTCACCCACTTTTGAATGGGTTTGTTTGTTTTTTTCTTGTAAATCTGTTTTAGTTCTTTGTAGATTCTAGATAAAGCTTCCCAAAATACCATTTAGCTTCTGGCTCAGAAACCTCTTCAAGCTGGGTAAATAAAAGATGGTCCATACGCCTCACACGACTGTTAAGAATGTCCTAACATAGAGCAAACTCTAAGATACAAGACTGAAAGGCATGATGTAGAGCAGTAGTTTTAAAGTAATTTACCATTTGTGGGTTTTTGTTGTTGTTTTAATTAAGACTGGGCGTTGTCGCTCTGTTACCCAGGCTATAGTGCAGTGGTGTAATCATGGCTCACTGCAGCCTCAAACTCCTAGACTCAATCAATTCTCCCACCTCAGCCTTCTAATTACCTGGGATTACAGGCACATGCCACCAGCCCAGCTAATTTTTGTTTTTTTTTTAGAGACTGAGTTTCGCTATGTTGGCCAGGCTGGTCTCGAACTCCTGACCTTAAGTGATTCGCCTACCTCAGCCTCCCAAAGTGTTAGGATTACAGGCATGAGCCACTGTGCCCGACCTGGATGCTGAAATTTGAATTTTGTATGACTGTCACTTGTCATGAAATATTATTTATTTTTCCAACCATTTAAAAATGTAAAAGTTATTCTTAAGTCATGGCTTGTACAAAAACAGGTGGTGGGCCAGATGTGGCCCACAGGCCAAAATTTGCCAACACCTGTGCTAGGTCATTTTTACCTCTGCCCTTGCCTCTCCCTGGGACCTCTCCCCTTCTTCTGAGGCCCAGTTCAATCATGCGTCCTTGAAGAAGCTTCTCCAGCCTTCCCAATCCCTGAGGCTTCTTCCTCTCTGATCATCCTTAACACTCAGTGGGTTAAACCATTTCACACCAAATTGTATACTGCATTATGACATCTCTTATGTTGAGTTGAGTTGTGGTTTGTTATCTAATATCTCTCTCTTTCTTGTTTTGTTTTGTTTTTTGAGACGGAGTCTCACTCTCTCACCAGGCTGGAGTGCAGCGGTGCAATCTCGGCTCACTGCAACCTCCACCTTCCGGTTCGAGTGATTCTTCACCTTAGCCTCCTGTGTAGCTGGGATTACAGGCATGTGCCACCATGCCCAGCTAATTTTTATATTTTTTGGTAGATATGGGGTTTTCACCATGTTGGCCAAGCTGATCTTGAACTCCTAACCTCAAGTGATCCACTCACCTCGGCCTCCCAAACTGCTGGGATTACAGGCGTGAGCCACCATGCCCAGCCTTAATATATCTTAAAAACATCTCCCCACCTAGATTATAAATTCCTCAAGGCCAAAGGGAATGTATTCTAGATCTAAGAAGAGAGAAAGAAAGAAAAGGAAGGAAAGGAGGGAGGGATGGAGGGAGGAAGGGAAAGGAAGGAAAATAAAGAAAGAAAGAGAGAGAGAGAGAGCGAGAAAGAGGTATATATTCTATTTCTTTGGTTTTCAAAAGGTATATATTCTAGATCTAAAAAGAAAGAAAAAGTGAGAAAGAAGAAAGAAAGAAAGGAAGGAAGGAAGGAAGGAAGGAAGGAAGGAAGAGGTATATATTCTATTTCTTTGGTTTTCCTATAAGGCCTAGCATATATTCTAGATCGAGAGAGAGAGAGAGAGAGAGAGAGAGGAAAAAGAAAGAAACAAAGAAAGAAAGAGGTACATATTCTATTTCTTTGGTAGTTTTATAATATTTGGTAGAAGGACTTAAATTAAGGAAGGCCAAGTACTGGCTGCAAAGGTCAAGTTAAATCTCCTTGCAAGGATCTGTTTCCAGCCTAAGAAAAGCAGTTATCTTCCTGTTCCAGCCCCACAGGGTCAGCATCACTGGCAGGGAGGGCTGAGTCTCCACCTGAGCCTGTCTTCTGTGCTTGATGGCCATAAAGGATGCTTCCTGCCACCAGCCTTCTGGAAAAGGTGAAGGAACAACCTGTCCCAAAGGATGGATCTTACAGACCCAGATAAATCACTCCAATACTTGCCTGCACCTTAACAGTTAACTGCCATTTCTCTTCTCATATGGAAAAGGGTGTCATCATGAATAATCCATGGCAACTGACAATTAGCACATACTTTCTGCTTGCCTTGGAAATGTGCTGTTCATGTTTTCATTGGAATAGAGATGTCTTCAACATTTAGGAAATCCTTCATTCCCCATGGCAGAGAAGCCTGACTTAAAGGAAGAAAGCAAGCTGTCACACCTGGTCTGTCCCCTTCAGGTCCTACCTGGCTCCCCACTTCATGCAGGGAGTGAACTGCATCACCCCTGAGGAACAGTGAAAAACATCTGCCCAGGCCAAGCGCAGTGGCTCACACCTGTAATGCTAGCACTTTGGGAGGCTGAGGCAGGTGTTTCACCTGAGGTCAGGAGTTCGAGATCAGCCTGGCCAACATGGTGAAACCTGGTCTCTACTAAAAATAGAAAAATTAGCTGGGCATGGTGGCGGGCACCTATAGTCCTAGCTATTCAGGAGGCTGAGGCAGGAGAATCACTTGAACTTGGGGTGCGGAGGCTGCAGTCAGCCAAGATCGCACCACCTCACTCAAACCTGGGTGAAAGAGCGAAACTCCGTCTCAAAAAACAAAAGCAAAAACATTTGCCTAAGGCAGCTCTGCATTCCCAGCACTCCTCCCTGATGCCAGGAAATAAAGGCTTACCAACCCTTTTCTTCCTGTCCCTGCTGGGCTGGAAAAAACCTAGAGCATCTGCCACCAAAGCAGCTAAGCCCAGGAGGTGAGAATGTCAGCAAGAACTTATCATCCGGCTCTATCTGTATCTGTAGCTGTCCTGAAAAAAGAGGATCCAGTTGTCCAAAGCCCATGTCTGATTTCCAGGGATCCTTGCAGTCCCTCAGCAGGACACCGTGTCCATGCCCATTACTCTGCTCGTCTACATGTGGGTGTCTGCTGTGTGCCCCATTCTGGGGGACAGCCACAGACTTCATCACTTCCTCCATTAGCTCATCAGATATTCATGGAGCATCTGCCACATCTGGGCTACATCTGGGACCCTAGAACTTGCAGGAGCAGTCCCTCCACGTGACCTCCCCTACCAGCCGAGGGGAGATCCTAAGCCATCTTCAGGATGTTCGTTTCATTAGGCCACGCCTAGTTATTCCAGTCACTTGAATTTCCATTTGAGAAGGAAGGGCTAGTCGGATAGACTCTCCTTAGAAAGGACCAAGTGTGCAGCTGGATACAGATACTACTGCTGCTGAACACAAAGTGCAAGCTCCTGAAAGGGACTGTTTTCTTTTCTTCCTACGAATCACCCACCATTTCTTTTCTTTTGAGAAAGTCTCCCTCTGTTGCCCAGGCTGAAGTGCAGTGGCATAATCTCAGCTCACTGCAAACTCCGCCTCCCAGGTTTAAGTGATTCCTGTGCCTCAGCCTCTGAGTAGCTGGGATTATAGGCACAGGCCACTGCCAGCTAATTTTTTTTGTATTTTTAGTAGAGACAGGGTTTGACCTTGTTGGCCAGGCTGGTCTCGAACTCCTGACCTCAAGTGATATCTGCCCTCCTCAGCCTCCCAAAGTGCTGGGATTACAGATATGAGCCACTGCACCGAGCCTATATTTTTCAATATATGTTCTTTTTAAAAATAACAGCTGGGTGCGGGGGTCCATGCCTGTAATCCTAGCACTGTGTGAAGCCAAGGTTGGAGGATTCCTTGAGGCCAAGCATTCAAGACCAGCCTGGTCAACATAGTAAGACCCCATCTCTACAAAAAAATTTAAAAATTAGACAGGCATGGTGCTGCACACCTGTAGTCTTAGCTACTCAGGAGGCTGACATGGGAGATTCCCTCTAACCCCAGAGTTCAAGGCTACAGTGGGCTATTTTTGTGCCACAGCTCTCCAGAGTGAGAGCCTGTCTCCAAAATTAAATAAATAGATAAAAATAATCTTTTTTTTTTTTTTTGAGACGGAGTTTCACTCTTGTTACCCAGACTGGAGTGCAATGGCGCGATCTCGGCTCACCGCAACCTCCGTCTCCTGGGTTCAGGCAATTCTCCTGCCTCAGCCTCCTGAGTAGCTGGGATTACAGGCACGCACCACCATGCCCAGCTGATTTTTTGTATTTTTGGTAGAGACGGGGTTTCACCATATTGACCAGGATGGTCTCGATCTCTTGACCTCATGATCCACCCGCCTCGGCCTCCCAAAGTGCTGGGATTACAGGCTTGAGCCACCGCGCCCGGCCTAGTAGCGTGATCTTAGCTCACTGCAGCCTCTGCCTCCTGGGTTCAAGTGATTCTCCTGTCACAGCCTCCTGAATAGCCCAGGCACCCACCACCACACCTGGCTAATTTTTGTATTTTTAGCAGAGACAAGGTTTCATCATATTTGTCAGGCTGGTCTGGAACTCCTGACCTCAAATGATCCACCCACTTCAGCCTCCCAAAGTACTGGGACTACAGGCATGAGCCACCGTGCCCAGCAAGTACATTAAGATTTTTTAAATAATTGGATAGTATTCCCCTGTGTGGATATATCATAATTTGTTTGACCAGCCTTTATTGATGGATATCTAGGTTATTTCCAGTATTTTGTGATTACAAACCATGTTGCAATGTACAATATCCTTTGCACAATAAGTTTCCTTGTAAAACATTAATGTTGTACAAATAAGAGCATATCAACAGGGTAAATTTCTAGAGGTGGAATTTCGGGGTCTGAACTATATGCATCATAGTTTTGTTAACTCATACTAGACTGCCCTCCATAGCACTGTGCCATGTGATACTCCCACCAACCGTGTATGACAGTGTTGGAGTGACTTTTTTCCCTCACTTTCACCAACGGAGTGAGCTATCCAATTTTCTTATCTTATCTCTGAGCAAAAAATGTTCCTTTAATGGAGTTTTAATTTTCTTTTCTCTTGGGAGTGAAGCTAAGAATCTTTTTATATGTCTTAAGAATCCTTGTATTTCTTTTTCTCTACATTTTCCATTGTTATGCCTGTTTTTCTTTTGAGTTGTGAGTCTTTTTTTCATTAATTTGCAGTATATTTTAGGAAAATGAGTTGATTTCTGCAGGTTATTTTCTGTGGGTTGTAAATTTTTTAGCAAGTGTTTTGTTTGCCTTTTGACTTTGTTTGTTGTTTTGTTTTGTTTTGAGACAGAGTCTCACTCCATCACCCAGGCTGTAGTGCAGTGGTGCAATCTCAGCAGTCTCCGCCTCCCAGGTTCAAGCAATTCTCCTGCCTCGGCCTCCCAAGTAGCTGGGATCACATGCAGGCACCACCACACCCAGCTAAATTTGTATTTTTAGTAGAGATGGGATTTCACCATGTTGGCCAGATTGGTCTCAAACTCCTGACCTCAAGTGATCCGACTTGGCCTCCCAGAGTGCTGGGATTATGGCATAAACCACCGCACCTGGCCAGCTTTTTGACTTTGAAGAGGCCTGTTTTAGAAATAAGATATTAAGACCCAAAGAAACACAATTCCTTGTATAAAAGGCACTCAGCAGCCAGGCGTAGTGACTCAGGTCTGTAATCCCAGCTCTTTGGGAGGCCAAGGCAGACAGATCACCTGAGGTCGGAAGTTTGAGACCAGCCTGACCAACATGGAGAAACCCGGTCTCTACTAAAAAAAATATATAAAATTAACCAGGCATGGTGGTGCATGCCTTTAATCCCAGCTACTCAGGAGGCCGAGGCAGGAGAATCGCTTGAACCCAGGAGGCAGAGATTGCGGTGAGCCAAGATCATGCCATTGCACTCCAGCCTGGGCAACAAGAGCAAAACTCTCTCTCAAAAAACAAAAAAAGCACTCAGCAAGCCTGCGGCAAGGCCAAAGTGAGGCTTAGGCCTTGTAACTCCCAGTCCACGTGTCTTGGGTTGTCAGAAAGCCTTAGCTGTAACATCTAGGGATTGAGGCAGGTGACCTCGCACTTGTTTAAAAAGAGAAACTGGATTAGATTTACATCTCTCTTCACCACACCCATTTTCTGTAATTTGATGATGCATGAACTCACTGAACACTTACTGGCATAACCAAACTCCACCTGCGCTGGGAACACAGACTGGTTCCCTTCTCAATTTCCTTGTCTGGTCCCTCCCACCACCAGCCATCCCCCAGTTAGTTTCCTTTGAACTCATTTACTCTTCTTTTCTCCTTTTCCCTCACAGCAGTCATTGTCCAAATCTGCTTTTTTCCGACAAAATTCAGAGAGGAGGAACTTCAAGCTGCTGGACACTAGGAAGCTGAGTCGGGATGGAACCGGGTCCCCTTCCAAAATCAGTCCCCCCTCCACTCCCAGCAGCCCTGATGACACTTTCTTTAACCTTGGAGACCCCCAGAACGGCAGGAAGAAGAGAAAGATACCTAAGGTAATGCTGGCAACAAGCTTCATGCTCCAATATGCGTGACCCCTTCTCTGTGAAAGAAGACTGCAGAGGGGTCTGGGTGGAGAGTACGTCACTGGGCCTCTGCCACCTGTGTTGCTGCAGGCCAGGCGGCCACAGTGAAGCCAGCAGGCTGGAATATCTGGACCTTCTCCTGATAATTTCTCTGGTCCTATATGTTCCTCTTAGCCACTCTTCTCCCAATCTTAGCTGCTTGTCTGATCCCAGACAAGGTTTTAATGCCCAAGCTCAAAAAGCCACAGCTCCTTCCTTCATCGCCTCAAAAAACAGAACTCCATCCATCATGCTCTGCCTTGAGACTTGGCCGACACCCGCCACAGAGGCAGGTCCCAGTCTGTGCTCTGAGACAGCCCTTCTCAACAATACCTCTTGTGGCTCCTTGCAGCCAAAAAGGTAAAACATGGCCGGGCGCGATGGCTCAAGCCTGTAATCCCAGCACTTTGGGAGGCCATGGTGGGTGGATTGCCTGAGGTCAGGAATTTGAGACTAGCATGACCAATATGGTGAAACCCCGTCTCTACTGAAAATACAAAAATTAGCCGGGCATGGTGGTGTGTTGTCCTAGCTACTTGGGAGGTAGAGGCAGGAGAATTGCTTAAACCCAGGAGGTGGAGGTTGCAGTGAGCCAAGATCAAGCCACTGCACTCCAGCCTGGGCGACAGAGCGACACTGCATATCCAAAAACATCCCCAGGGGCTTGGGTATACACATCTTTATGCATCTGTTGTTGGTTACATTTCCTTTTGCTCCATTTCAATGCTATAGTGCTGGTCTCTCTTCATTGACCAATTTGGTACTGTAGGGTAGGCAGAATTTCTCCTTTACCCTCTTAGGGTCTCCAGCTGAGCCTTAGATTTAAACTGACATAAAACAGATTAACAAGAGAAATGCATACTAATTTTATTTACAAGAATGTGGGAGCCCTCAAAAGAAAAATGTAAGACCCACGGAAATGACTGAGTCTATGTGTTTATATACCAGGTTGAACAGAGTGGCCATTGTGGAAAAGCAACCAGGAAGATAAGGGTTAAACAAGGTTTGTTTGATTAGATTTCTCTTGGCCTCGACTGCCCATTGCTGGTGATAATGTTTCTTCCCTCCTGTTAAAAGGAGGGCCTCTTTTACATGAGAGTTTCATCTCCTGTTTTTAAGAAGAAAAGAGAAGGTCAGAGAGCCCTTTCTGCACCTGCTGTTTTTCAAGTGTCTTTAGTTAAAAATAATTAACATAATTTGACTGGCTTAAAAAAAAAAAAAATAATAATAATAATAATAATAATTAACATGGCAAAGTGGCATATTTTTAGGTGCCATGTCCTGAACTACTTCAAGATCAACTTCTTAGAGGAACTTTTAAATTAGGGAGTTAATTTTAAAAAGTTCAGAGTTAACTCTGAACTTTTAAATTCAGAGTTCATGGATGGGCTTTAGGAGGTCATGAAACTCATAAAAATGTAAAATTTTATGCAGATAAGTTTTGGTGTGGGACAGTGTAGGTTTCATGGATTTTTTTTATGTTTTTTTGAGACAGAGTTTCGCTCTTGTTGCCCAGGCTGCAGTGCAATGGCACAATCTCGGCTCACTGCAACCTCCACCTCCCAGGTTCAAGCAGTTCTCCTGCCTCAGCCTCCCAAATAGCTGGGATTACAGGCACGCACCACGACGCCCGGCTACTTTTGTATTTTTAGTGGAGACAGGGTTTCACCATGTTGGTCAAGCTGATCTCAAACTCCTGACCTCAGGTGATCCACCAGCCTCAGCCTCCCAAAGTGCTAGGGTTACAGGCATGAGCCACCGCGCCTGGCCGGTTTCCTGGGATTTCTCAGAGTGACCCACTGACCTGAAAGAAAGTCAAGGGAGGCCAGGCATAATGGTTCACACCTGTAATCCCAGCACTTTGGGAGGCCAACATAGGAGGATCACTTGAGCCCAGGAGTTCAAGACCAGCCTGGGCAGTGTGGTGAAACCCCATCTCTACAAAAAATTTTAAAATTAGCCAGGCATAGGGGTGCACACTTGTAATCCCAGCTACTTGGGAGGCTGAGGTGAGAGAGAATTGCTTGAGCCCAGGAGTTAGAGGCTGCAGTAAGCTATGATCGTGCCATTGCACTCCAGCCTAGGTGACAGAGCGAGATGCTGCCTCTAAAAAGAGAGAGAAAGAGAGAGAGAGAGACAGAGAGGGTTCTGCTGAAGTCCACGGAGGGAATATGCCTTTAAGTAGTGGTGCCTGTTGAGTGACTCACCTTAGCAGCACTAGGAGAGGTTATGAAAGGACTTGGCAGGTCTGAGGACAGCTAAGAACTTTTATCCTAGAAACCAGAAAGGTGTTGGAGGTACCTCACGTAAGTGGAGTCATACACCTTTTGTGACTGACATTTCACTTCGTGTAGTGTCTTCAAGGGTTAAGCATGTGTCAGCATTTTCTGCCTTTTTTAAGACTAAATGATATTCCACTGTATGTATATACCACATTTCGTATATCCATCTATCTGTCCGTGGACACTTGGCTGTTAGAAAGTTGGAGTATTTTAGGCCAGGCGCAGTGGCTCAAGCCTGTAATCCCAGCACTTTGGGAGGCCGAGGCGGGTGGATCACGAGGTCAAGAGATCGAGACCATCCTGGTCAACATGGTGAAACCCCGTCTCTACTAAAAGTACAAAAAATTAGCTGGGCATGGTGGCGCGTGCCTGTAATCCCAGCTACTCAGGAGGCTGAGGCAGGAGAATTGCCTGAACCCAGGAGACGGAGGTTGCGGTGAGCCGAGATCGCGCCATTGCACTCCAGCCTGGGTAACAAGAGTGAAACTCCGTCTCAAAAAAAAAAAAAAAAAAAAGAAAGTTGGACTGTTGAAATACGCCAGCCCCTTCGTTTTTCAGATAAGGACATTTGAGACCATAGAGGCCAACAAGTGGCCCAGAGATACCAGCCAGAAGCGAAGCAGGCCAGACAATTTTTAAATGTTGAAAGTAAGAATTAAAATATTCAAGCCAGCGCGGTGGCTGCCACCTGTAATCCCAGCACTTTGGGAGGCTGAGGTGGGAAGATCACTGAGGTCTGGAGTTCAAGACCAGCCTGGCCAACATAGTGAAACCCTATCTCTACTAAAAATACAAAAAAATTAGCTGGGCATGGTGGTACACCCCTGTAATCCCAGCTACTCGGGAGGCTGAGGCATGAGAATCACTTGAACCCGGGACACAGAGGTTGCAGTGAGCCAAGATCACACCACTCTACTCCAACATGGGCGACAGAGCAAGACTGTCTCAAAATAAACAGATAAATAAAATAAAATAAAATATTCATAGTACATGGAAATTGGTTACCATCCTATATTTTTGTTTACTGACATATACAGATAAAAGCATTATATAACATTTAACATGTAGCTACGAGATAATAAGATTAATTTTGTAAGCACACAGAACAACTATTTTAGAATTCCTCCATGTGTGGGATTCTAAATCACATGTGCCATGAATGTGTGTGCTCTTTGATAGCAAGCCCCGGGGGACCCAGCAAAGCAAAATGTGCAAATCCACACTTACCAGCTTCTCATGCAAGAGGGAAAACAAACGCATAGGAAACACCAGACTTTTTTCGTCTGAAATACGAAAAACATTTTCTGTGGATGCAGGTCTCCTTGAAAATGCATCAGACAACTAGGCTGGCCTGGGTAGTGGGGAGGGGGCCAGGCACAGGGCATCTGGCAGTGGTGATGGGGGAGACCCATCTGGGCTGAGTGGCCTTGTTGGAGGCTTGGGATGTGTCCCACACCAGGATATCTGTGTGCACTTGCACACTGCGTGTGTGTGTTCTGTGAACACATGGAGGGTGCATGACGTCTGGGGTGCGGGTCCCTCTGCAGATGGGGCAGAACGCTTGGGTGCATGGCACCGCTCCCCACAATCCCAAGCGAGGACTCGGGAGCCGGTCTCATCCTGGTTCCCACCCGATTCAGGGCTGGTCTGACATTCTTTGGAATGGTTCCCATGAAGGGAGCCCTGCCTGGGAACTTTTTTTTTCCCTCTCTTTCTTTTCTTGTTTTGTTTTGGGAGGAAAAGCTCCTTCCTGAGCCGCAGTGACATCATAGCTTCAGAGGGAGAGCAGCCATCGCACTGTGAGCAATGGACTGTCTCCCCATGGGTCTCTGCTGCTCATGAGCAGATCCAGATGACAGCTGCCCAGATGGCAGTGAGGCTGGCAGCCTCCTTTAGTTTCATTGACAGTCACAGTCCTGTTTGGTAGAAAAAAAATGACTAGGCTGGGCACGGTGGCTCACGCCTGTGGTCCCAGCACTTTGGGAGACCAAGGCAGGGGATCACCTGAGATCAGGAGTGGGAGAACAGCCTGGCCAGCATGGCAAAACCCGGTCTCTACTAAAAATATAAAAATTAGCTGGTTGTAGCGGTAGGTGCCTGTAATCCCAGCTACTCAGGAGGCTGAGGCAGAAGAATCTTTTGAACCCAGGAGTTAGAGGCTGTGGTGAGCTGAGATTGCGCCACTGCTGCACCCCAGTCTCTGCTCCACAAGAGCAAAACTCCGTCTCAAAAAAAATGAATGAAAGACACCCCTGAGCCCATGGGAGGTGTGTCCCACTCCCCCTGGCCCTGGCCTTCCATCGTCCTAGGAGAGGGGCAGTGAGGGAAGCCCAGCCACCGCAGAGAGCAGGCTGCTAACACTGGCTCTTCTTCTCCTGGTGTCTGGCAGCTGGTGTTGCGAATCAACGCCATTTATGAGGCCCGGAGAGGAAAGAAACGGGTGAAGAGGCTGTCCCAGTCAATGGAGAGCAACTCAGGAAAAGGTAGAACCCCCACCACCAGCCTTCCTCCTGCGAGAATCAGGAAAGTGGCTTCCTGCTTTTTCTGATTGGCTCACCAAGGAGAACAAGCTGATGCTTTATAAACGTCCTGCATTGTCTTCGGGACAGTGGCAGAGCCAGGAGCTCAGCCTGGGCAGCATGTCCCCTTCCTCCCTGTCCTTGTCCTTGTCCTCATCCAAGTCAACCCAGCACTGCAGGCCCTGGCCTGACTGTGGGAGCAGCCTTCCTTGCTTAGCCTGCACAAAAGGGGCCAGGACCTTCTGCTCTGTTATCTCATATAAGTACCATTTAGTACCATCTGAACTAGAGCCAAATTAATTTGGCAGTACATTGAGGCAGATGAGACGTGGTTTGTGCAGTACATTGAAAGAGACAACAGAGGCTGGGGGCTGTGGCTCGCACCTATAATCCCAGCACTTTGGGAATCTGAGACAGGCAGATCACCTGGGGTCAGGAGTTCAAAACCAACATGGTGAAACTCTGTCTCTACTAAAAATATAAAAATTAGCTGGGGGTGGCCGGGCGCGGTGGCTCACGCCTGTAATCCCAGCACTTTGGGAGGCTGAGGCGAGCAGATCATGAGGTAAAGAGATCGAGACCATCCTGGCCAACGTGGTAAAACCCCGTCTCTACCAAAAATACAAAAATCAGCTGGGCATGGTGGCGCATGCCTGTAGTCCCAGCTACTCAGGAGGCTAAGGCAGGAGAATCACTGAACTCTGGAGGTGGAGGTTGCAGTGAGCCGAGATTACGCCACTGCACTCCAGCCTGGCAACAGAGAGAGACTCCATCTCAAAAAAAAAAAAAAAATTAGCCAGGGAGGGGTGTAGATGGTGGTGCATGCCTGTAATCCCAGCTACTTGAGAGGCTGAGTCAGAAGAATCTCTGGAACCTGGAAGGGGGAGGTTGCAGTGAGCCAATATTTCTCCACTGCACTCCAGCCTGGGTGACAGAGCGAGACTCCATCTCAAAAAAAAAGAGAGACAACAGAACACCCGCTCTGAATTAGAGAGAGTTTCCTGCACTAGAAGAATTCACATTTGCAACTGTCTTCCTTGTTCTTTTCTTCTAGTGACAGATGAGAACAGTGAGTCTGACAGTGACACAGAGGAGAAGCTGAAAGGTGAGGAGAGCCATTGCTGAGCAGGACGCAGGCAGGTGACTTGGAAGCTGCAAAGGTGGCCCCTCCTCCTCAGTATAAGGGACAGAAGCGTCCTGCTCCAGCTTGCTTGGCAAGGCAATGGAGGGGGGACAGTGGGGCCACAGAGTGCTCCGGGCCAGTCAGTCAAGGGTATGATCAAAATGGCACTGCAGTCGCTGAGAGCAAGGGTGGCTACAGTTACGGCAGTGACCCTGCTCCCATACCTCTCCCTATGTCCTGAGTGTTTTCAGACTTCGAGGCTTGGCACTGCAGCCCCAAGGCTCCAGAGACCTGGAACTCCTGCCGCACTTCTGTTCAAGTTACTGTGTGATCTGGAGGAAATCACTTAAGATTAAGGGCCACTAGTTCCTCATCTGTCTGATGAAGTTGACATAATTGGTCCCTGTGGGTCTAAAATTAGATCGTCCAGGCCTAGGCTTTAGTGACTTTTCTGCAATATTTCAGACCCCAGGGAGAAGCCAAAGGAAGCAAGTACAGGTTGCTGAACAAGGTGACAGGGACCTGTCCGCTCAGTGACTCTGCTGCATTCACCTCTGACACCCAGCTGCTCCCAGACCCACCTCTAGAATGAAGCAAGGCCATTTCGTTGCAGAGTTAGTGGCAGGAGGGGAGGTGGACAGGAGTTCCTGAGTTAGTGGGGTCTCTGCCAGTTGAGTCACACAGGATGTTTACAAAGCTCCCAACTCCAAAAGCCCTATGGTCTGGATTCTGTCACATCACACAAACCGAAAGACAAGGGAAATGGCTGAGGGGAGGAGTCACTGTCCGCACCCCATCAGATAGATGAAGGCAAGGACATCAGCCACTGCCCAGAGTCCAGACAGCAAAACCATGGCAGAGCAGAGCCATAGTTCCAGGCTCCAGCACCCTGATTGGTCTGGTAGCCAATTGAATGTTGCTTCTCCCAGAACTTTGGCAGAGATCCCAGATAAAGAGTTTCCTACTAATTTGTTAGACACAGAAACACTTTGGGGATTAGAGAAAAGTACTTGAGCTGAGAATTACATAACTTATTGTCGGTTCAGTTCCACATGGGCTCATGGTCATTTCAGTCTCCTGCGCTCTCTGTGTCTCTCTCTATCTCTCTCTCTCTCTCTCTCTCTCTCTCTCCTTCCCTCATCCAGCTCACAGCCAGCGCCTGGTCAATGTGAAGTCCCGCTTGAAGCAGGCACCTCGGTACCCATCACTTGCCCGGGAGCTCATCGAGTACCAGGAGAGGCAGCTCTTCGAGTACTTTGTGGTTGTGTCTTTGCACAAGAAGCAGGCTGGGGCTGCCTACGTGCCAGAACTCACCCAACAGTTCCCTCTGAAGGTACGGGGAGGCCAGGGTCCTGTGGCCTGCCAGGGTTCTAACCATCACCTTGTTGGGACTCATGAATTCAGGGAGGCGTGGGAGTCTGAGGAACACCTAGCATCTAGAATCTTGAAAATGGATCCTAATTAGGGTATATCAGATGGAAAAAAAAAAAAAAAAACCGCTGCTGCTAGAGAATTTGGGAGGTCCCAGAAAGGAGAGATTCGGGGACTCAAAAAGTATGGCCAGACAAATGCCAACATTAGCCGGGCATGGTGGCACGCGTCTGTAGTCCCAGCTACTCAGGCTGAGACAGGAGAATCGCCTGAACACGGTACTCCAGCCTGGGCAACAGAGCAAGACTCCGTCTCAAAAAAAAAAAAAAAAAAAGTATGGCCAGAAATGCTTTCTCATTTCTTGTGGTCCCTGTGCTGGCTATGCCATCCCCTTTGTCCTCCCCTTCCACCTCCTTACCCAGCCAGCCACATCTCTTCCTAACCTAGCCTAGAAGCCTCTTTCCCTCAAAGCCCCAGCATGTCTCCCTAAGCGGCATCATGTTTGTGTCTGTGCTGAACGTCTGCTTCGCTTGTGCACTGTGCATCTCTGTGTATGTGCAGGAAAGTCCTTTTGTTACAGGGAGGGAATCTCCATACCCCTAGAGAGTGTTCTTGGATCTCCCACAAAAAAAGAATTCAGGCCAAGTCAGCAGAGTAAAGTGAAAGCAAATTTATTTAGAAAATAAAGGAGGCCGGGAGCGGTGGCTCACACCTGTAATCCCAGTACTTTGGCAGGCCAGGTGGGCAGATCCCTTGAGGTCAGGAATTCGAGACCAGCCTGGCTAACATGGTGAAACCCCGTCTCTACTAAAAATAAAAAAATTAGCTGGGCGTGGTGGCAGGCACCTGTGGTCCCAGCTACTCGGGAGGCTAGGCTGGAGAATCGCTTGAACTCGGAAGGCAGAGCTGGCAAAAAGTAAAGGATCGAAAGAATGGCTACTCCATAAACAGAGCAACCCTGAGGGCTGCTGGTTGCCCATTTTTATGGTTATTTCTTGATTATATACTAAACAACAGGTGGGTTATTCATGCCTCCCTTTTTAGATCATAAACTGTCATGGTGCTGGTGAGAGTGTAGCAGTAAGGATGGCCAGAAGCACTCTCATCACCATCTTGGTTTTGGTGAGTTTTAGCCAGCTTCTTTACTGAAACCTGTTTTATCAGCGAGGTCTTTATGACCTGTGTCTTGTGCTGACCGCCTGTCTCATCCTGTGACTTAGAATGCTTTAACCATCTGGGAACGCAGCCCAGTAGGTTTCAGCCTCATTTCACCCAGCCCCTACTCAAGATGCAGTCGCTGTGGTTCAAACACCTCTGACACTTTTATGTCATGGACCATGGTTGTGTGGATTCAGCTTTACCATATGTTAAATCATGGCACCTGAAGTAAAAAAAATAAAATGGCACTTAATATAACCTGAAGCAACATGGCCAATAATTTATAAATTATTCTTAGGCTTTGGCATCAGTATTAAAGAGGTTTTTACCATATTCTAATTCAATTCAATCAGAATTTACTAAGAATATATTACATTCAAGCAATTTTCCACCTGGCCCTGGTGGAGTGACAGTGATGAACAAAATGTATCTCCTGTCCTCAAGGAGTTTAAACTCTGCCAGGAGGACATAAAATAACCATCTTCTCCCACCCTCAGAAAAACATGCAAAGATTCACCAGGTAGAATCTGATGGTCTCTGGATAAACCCATGCCTCAGGGAGGGCAGAAGGGAGGGAGCGTCTGTCCTTGCCCACTCAGGGCCTCCCTTTGCCATCACCACCCAGGCATAACCCCAGCATCTTCCGAGGCCCAGATCCCGCTGTTCCCTGGCCTCAGCTCCTTTCCCAGGCCAGCTTTCCTTCCATACTCCCCACTGTGGTCCAACACCACAATCAAGCCCTATTTTTGGAGTTTAGGGTAGCAGCTATGTAGACTGAAGTAAACCATAGGTGCTGGCCTTCCAAAGGTGACACTCACTTCCTCTAGCTGTCACACTTCTAAGGAATGAGCCCCTGACACCCCACTGCCACAGATATGCCCAGATTTTTTTTCGGTGGGGGCGCCGCCCCATGGATAAGAGAGGCTGCTGGGTATGCTCACGCTGACTCACAATGGAGAGCACTGAGGCATGAAGGGCTATCTATCACCCTGTTCATTGCCTCGGAGCCCAGCACAATGCTGTTCACATGGCAATGCTTGATCAGTGTTCCAGGAATCAAGTTAATTAATGACTCACCATATGATCAAATGATGATCATTTCCAGCCAGGAGTCACCCACATTAAATTTTTTTTGTTTCTAGAGCAAAGTTGCACAGTTACTGTTGAAAAGGGAACTGGGCTGGGCGAGGCGGCTCACACCTGTAATCCCAGTTCTTTGGGAGGCTGATGCGGGAGGATCACAAGGTCAAGAGATCGAGACCATCCTGGCCAACATGGTGAAACCCCATCTCTACCAAAAATGCACAAAAATTAGCTGGGCGTGGTGGCGCATGCCTGTAATCCCAGCTACTTGGGAGGGTGAGGCAGAAGAATTGCTTGAACCCGGGAGGCAGAGGTTGTGGTGAGCCAAAATCGCACCACTGCACTCCAACCTGGGTGACAGAGTGAGACTCCGTCTCAAAAAAAAAAAAAAAGAACAAAAAGGAACTGATCCAGAAATGTATTAGGAAAGAAATCACTAGTAATCCCGCCACACAGAGACCATCACTGTTAACATTTTCTTTCTCATCCAGTCTTTTCTCATGGTGTAATTTTCTTACAAAACTGGAATCATACACTGCAGAATTTTTGTATCATGTTGCATGTACTCTTTTGTAAACCTCTCATTATTTATAAGCATATTTAATAAAAATTCTAAAACATCATTTTTCAAGTTATATATAATGCTCCAATATGTGAGTATTTCCTAGTCTATTTATCTACTTAACCAGTCCTCTTCTTTTGAAAATGTATCTGGCTATAAGTGGTTTTTTTTGTTTGTTTGTTTTGGTTTTTTTTAGAAGGTCTCACTCTATTGTCTAGGCTGGAGTGCAGTGGCACAGTCTTGGCTCACTGCAGCCTCTACCTCCCAGATACAAGCAATTCTCCTGCATCAGCCTCCCAAGTAGCCAAGGTTACAGGCATGCACCACCACGACCAACTAATTTTTATATTTTATTTTTCACCATAATGGCCAAGCTGGTCTCAAACTCTTGACCTCAAATGCTCCGCCCGCCTCAGCCTCCCAAAGTGCTGGGATTACAGGCATGAGCCACCGTGCCCAGCCTCTGTGTGTATTTTTGAGACAGGATCTCACTATCACTCTTGTCATCCAGGATGGCATACAGTGGTACAATCACAGCTCACTGCACCCTCAACCTCCTGGGTTCAAATGATCCTTCCCGCCTCATCTTCCTGGGTAGCCGGGACTGCAGGCGCATGCCACCATGCCCAGCTTATTGATTTTTTGTAGAGATGAGGTCTTCCTCTGTTCCCCAGGCTGGCCTCCAACTCCTAGGCTCAAGTGATCCACCTACCTGAGCCTTCCAAAGTGCTGGGATCCACTGTGCCTTGACTTTTTTTTTTTTTTTTTAAATGCAGCAATGAGGCCAGGCATGGTGGCTCATGCCTGTAATCCCAGCATTTTGAGAGGCCAAGGTGGGTGGTTCACAATATCAGGAGATCAAGACCATCCTGGCTAACAGGGTGAAACCCCATCTCTACTAAAAATACAAAAAAATAGCCAGGTATGGTGGCACACCCCTGTAGTCCCAGCTACTCAGGAGGCTGAGGCAGGAGAATCGCTTGAACCCGGGAGGAGGAGGTTGCAGTGAGCCAAGATGGCACACTGCACTCCAGCCTGGGTGACAGAGCGAGACTAAGTCTAAAAAAAAATGCAATGGTGATCATCCTTGTACATGCATTTTTTTTCCTTGAGATGGACTCTTGCTCTTTCTCTAGGCTGGAGTACAGTGGCGCAATGTCGGCTCACTGCAACCTGCGTCTCCCAGATTCAAGCAATTCCCCTGCCTCAGCCTCCTGAGTAGCTGAGACTACAGGCGCGCGCCACCACACCTGGCTAATTTTTTGTATTTTAGTAGAGAGGGTTTCATCATGGCCAAGATGGTCTCGATCTCCTGACCTCATGATCCACCCACCTTGGCCTCCCAAAGTGCTGGGATTTCAGGTGTGAGCCACCGCGCCCGGCCTATACATGCGTTTTTACATGTCAGCCTATTTTATATCTCCTTGCCTTTCCTCCCTTGCTCCCTCTGTAGGAAAGACTTTTTCCTCCTTCTCTCTCTTCTCTTTTTAACCTTTTTTGTGTGAGTTTTAGCCCTCACTTGTGTCAAGTCGCCTGAATCAAGGCACAGTCCTATTTGCATGCTAATGTTCCATTAAAATGTTTCCTATCGCGTATTTGTCTTTGACAGTTCAAGGAGCCTGGGCTGTTTTCCAGCCATCTGTGATTGGCTGTATTTGTGGGAGATTTCTGTGTTCGGCTTTCTGTAACTGTGTTCCTGTGCATCTATGAGCCTGTGTGCGTATGCACTGATACCTCATAGGTTGATGACAGTGTGAGTAGGCACTTGTGCACCTGTATTTGTGTGTGTCATATGTGTGATCTGAGGTGGGTGCATGCAAGTGGTGACTGGGCTGTTGAAAAGGGCTGGAACTTGTTTTCCCATGAAGCCTGCTCTTTGGTCCTGAATGATGTTTCCTTTGTGGAGAAACTCCTTTGGAATTCTTCCCTTTGGAATTCTTCCTCCCTTTGGTATTCTTCTTCCCTCC